TTAATTTTCATAATTTGACACCGTAGGTTATAAAAAGCCTTAATTTAGTTTTAGTATAATTAGGATTAAATAAAATTTTGCTTGATTGCATTGTTTTTAAAACTTAAGGCATTGTTCACTTATTAAGGAGTTAATAGTATATCCTCCGCGATTGTGTTCAGGGGGTGACTACTGGTAATTCCCTAAATAAGTCGACATCCTTTTCAAAACTGCATCATATTTTTTCTAAAAATGAGGCAACGTTCGGTTATTAGGCACAATAGTTGATCTCCCGCATTTACGCTTGGGGGCGAATGCTATCGATCTCAATAAACGAATACTATTTTCAACTTTGCAACTGTAATGATTTTCAAGTTAAATAAAGATCGAACTTAAAATTTCTAATTTTAAATATAGGTTAACCAACTAGTTACCAATTTTCGGGCCCTTGTGGGGGTGCTAATCCTTCCCCACATGTAACTAACTCCTAAACCTGATTTCTCAATTTTTCGTAGACCCTAAAACTTAATATTTTATTAAAATAAAATGTTTTATTAAAATCACCTGGTTTTTACAGTGTTCCAATCTCACCTTAAATGATTAGTGCATTTCAAAAATCTTTTCAAAGAGAAAACCCCATGTAGGTAATCGGTCTTTTCCCGCCCGGGCGAAAAATGGTGTCGACACTCTTGATTGTCTTTGTAAAATATCAAAAAGGAAATTTTTTACATCCGCCAATTCATACATCAAAATATCAAATTTACTCTGTTTTCCCTCACCATTATCCCACTCACCGCCATCCCCTACTAGCATCTCTTTTTCCTTCTATTCCCCCACTATCTCTACTATATCCATTGCCTCCTCTACCTTCTTGCCAATAACCTTTAAAATTAAATTACAATATTAATACATTGATTATATTCTTAATATTATTTAATTACATTTATTACCCTTGCTTCGTCAGTCTATCCAACTTCAACTTCACCATCACTCTAACCACCTCTTCCTTCCCCTATGCACGGATGCGTGCCACTCTGGTTCTTTCATATGCCAGCACACTATTACTGTCCGACCAAAAATCGAACAGTGCAACATGCATTTATAATTAAATTTATCATTTTATATAATAATTATACTATCATTTTATATAAAAAAAAACAAAAAAGTTCTTCATCTCATTTTACCTCTAAGATTGTTATGCACCATTTGAGGTATCTCTGAGAGCCCTTTGGAAAGCTGATTATTGATTCAATCAATCTCGAATGGACATATTCAGCCCAATTGAATTCACTTTTCAAGCCTTCATCGCAAATCAGCTTCATATTGTCCTTGCTCATTGATGTATCACCCGTTGGACAAAGAAAGATCCCGACAAGGTACAATAGAACTCGGGCCTTCAAGTCATCCCCCTCGTAAAATCCACTTTTGATTTCCCCTTCAAGTTCAGCATATGTAACCTTCTTCTTCAAATCATATTTGGAGGCAAGTGCTTTACAGTTCTTAGTCTTACTGACTTCTACAACACTTTTGCCTTTATTTTCTACCCCCAAGATGGCTGCAGCACATGAGACCCCCAGAGGAAATGAATAATCATCATATTTAACCATACATTATTGGACATCGAATTACTCCACCAAGGATCGACACAATTCCCTCCCAATTGGTTGATCCCTTACTCCTATCAAAGATCCAAACCTCATTTCTTTCAGCACATTCAATTGCTCTTTCTCCTTAAGGTCTTCAATTAATGAATTCGCTCTTTTTATGCTGCACCTTGTCGACACTTCCTATATTTTTTAAAAATATATAATGTTATTGTTCTTATATATCTTTTATCAAAGTATTTACGAGTTTAATGAATACCTCTTTTCATGTTTTCCTCCAAGCTTTGTATTCTTGTATCTATCTTGACCGTGTCATGTAAGGTTCCTTATCAGCATCAGTCATCGACTTACATTTCTCCAACACATCGTTTTTCACCTAATATTAAGCATAAACATTTCTTAATCAATACATTAACGCTAAATAATACCCAATGTCAATTTCATTTTACATACCGAACCGCTGTGATTGTCAGCTTCCTTCATCCTTTGGCATTCAGTCATAATGTCAACATTTAAAATTTGTAATCAATTTAAAGTTCTTAAATACTTTAATCCAATTACCATTTCAACAATAATAACAAAAATACATTGATACTTACTAGAAGTACATATATTCACCCTTTTGTTGCTTTCGACTCTCAGCCTCAATTTTAAAGTCATCTTTGCCACCAACAATTGCAAGATCCGTTTACTTCATTTTTCCTTCATATATCAGTTTACGCAAATCAAAATCAAATACTGGTTACATACACTTTATTCAATATACAAATATCGATAACTACTCTTGTAGTAAAATGGTTTCCATCAAAAGAATTTGAATGGCCACTACTACAAGTATAAGTACATTTATACAACCTACAATATCATTTTCTACCTATAATATTATATACAATTATCCATATTTATTTTCTACCTATAATATTATATAATCAGTCCTAAATCCTTTTTGGTTTCGATTCGAAATCCCCAAACCAAACCCAAAACCCCTAATCCCTAGTTCCTTCAAACGAATGAGAACACTCAATACTCCAAGTATCGGCACATTTATACAACCTATAATATCATTTTCTACTTATAATATTTAATAAAAGTATCTATATTTATCATCTACCTAGAATATCACTTTTTATTTGTAATCGGTCCCAAATGCTTTTTTACTTCAAAAACCCTAAACAACATATAAAACCCCTATTTCGATTACTGTAATAATAAAAAACTAGGGTTTTGACAACGAACTTTTCGATTCGACTGCAACAACAAACAAACAAACCTCGCTTTAAAAATGTCTTCTGAAATGCAGCAACAATTACGCTTCGATTTCAAAAACTCGGCTGTGTTCTATCTATTTTCAGAGGAAAGTGAGTTATGCCTTTTATATTTTAACCGGATATGTTATTTATATTTAATCGATACAATTACAAATGTCTCAGTACTTTTATGTCAGGTGTCAATACTTTCGATAGAATATTTACCTATTTCTTTTTAAAATATCAATAATTTCTTACGCGTACTTATTAAAGTATCCATACATTCAACATATCTGGTAGCGCTTTATCGGTTTTGTCATAATGAAACTGGTTTTGTCATATTTTTACCTGTTATATTATTGTGGATCGATACATTTTTATAAAGTATCGATACTTTATAGACACTATTACTGTTTTTCTTTTAAATTCCAAAAGTGTCGATACTTATTTCAATGGAATCGGTACTTTCAACATATCCGGTAGCGCTTTACCGGTTTTGCAATAATGAAACCGATTTTTATCATATTTTACATGTTATATTGTTGTGTATTGATACATTTTTATAAATTATCGATACTTTTTAGGCTCTAGTACTACTTTTATTTTAAATTCCAAAAGTGTCGATACTTATTTAAATGTAATCGATACTTTCAACATATCCGGTAGCACTTTACTGGTTTTGTCATAATGAAACCGGTTTTATCATATTTTTACCTGTTATATTGTTGTGTATCGATACATTTTTATAAATTATTGATACTTTTTAGGCGCTAGTACTACTTTTTTTTAAAATTCCAAAAGTGTCTATACTTATTTCAATCATTTCAATACTTTCAACATATCTGGTAGCGTTTTACCGATTTTGTCATATTGAGCCCGGTTTTCTCATATTTTTACCTGATATATTGTTATGCATACATTTTTATTTGTATCGATACGTACCGACAAGCTAAGTTTGCCGGTTGCCAAATTTTTTAATATTTCTTCATGATTTCCACTTACAACATTATTATTACTCAACATTTCCGGTAGCGCTAAACCGACTTTGTTAAATATCTTATTATGTTTCCGGTAACGCCGTATATTAATCGTATATTAGTCCGCCTTTCCTGAAACAACCCCGACTTCCCCTAATGTTTCTCATTCGTACTATACCTATTGATTTTTTTTTCAAATTTATTTACGGCTATAGGAATATCTAAGAACCAATCAAAATCTTGGATTTAATTTTTATATATTATCCAAAAACAACTTCAAATTTATTTATTTTTCCATGATTTATATTATGTAGTATGATAATTATTTTGCAACGTGATAAAAAAATACTATGCATTCTGATTTTGACTATTCTATGCGATAAATATTGAAAATGAATATTATTGAAGTCCATCGTAATAAGACTGAATTTCTTCATGCAGTCAAGCCTGAATATCATATCACTTCACCAAACTGAAGTACTATGAAATCATGATTGATTGATCCTTGCTAGCTTATCCCTTTTAGCTGACCAAGGGGTGAGTAGTTACCAACTCTATCCTTTCCATTGTTATAAAACTATAGGTGTTGCCACTGTTAATCAAATGGGTGGATCAATCGATGGATTCTTAATTCATTGTCTTACGCTCCCAATAAGGGCACTCATTGGATTCTTAATGCATTGTGTCTTCGTTATATATTAACGATTACTCAGCTTGCCTTCCTGCTCCTCCCAATCCCATCATTTTGGAGCTTTGGGTTCATCCTTCATTTGTTCCACCTGCCTTTGTATATCATTTATCTGCGGCTGCATGACAAGCCAAGTTTGCATTTTCTGTCATTTAGACTCTAATACCAATTTATAATTAACTTATTGCAAGTTCAGAAAAGAATTGACAAGAGAGAAGAAAATGAGACGAGAAGACTGATTTCATTCAAATTTTCATATGAGCCTTTTCATTCTTAGTACTATGCAGCTAAATTCTACAGTTGTCATTGTCCTTAGCTGTAACTCTTTGCCCAGGGAGCTGGATTTATTGCCAACCTGCAGTAGTTGCTTTTTTTTCAAATGAAATATCGCTTTCAATATAAAAAAATTAATATCACCTGTAAAACCTGTTATGGTTTCAATATATTCAAAAGTATGCCAGTATCTGACACAAGGGATAATTTTTTTGGTACACAATAGATATGTGTATATTTGAATATAACCAGAAACTGTATCCTTGATTGCCAGATGCAGAAGAGTTGATGCAAATACTTGATGTGCCAATAGTTGGTGGCCTAAAAATGTATGCTATAACTGATCTTCCCCTACTTTTCAGTTATAATCTGTTTAATTTTTGCTACTGTAACCAGTTTGCCTACCCTAACTTCCTCACCAGTTAGCCAGCCAAGTCACAGAGAAACTCTGGTCGATTCACGGACAATCTCATATATTGCTATCACGTTCTCTATAGTCAACAAGAAAATGATACAACATTCCAAGAGATCGGACCGTCTATTTTGGATAACTTCTTGAAGGAAGCGAATGTTGTGCTGCAATAAACGAAGTAAATGTTACAACTGAAGCTCTAACATGCCAGCATGTTTTAGTTTGAAAAAGATTTCTTAGAAATCAATAGGTATGAAATTCATATAGGTGTAGATAAAACATGAAGGTACCTCCACAAATTTTAGCTTGAAATCCAGATTCCCAAAGCGTTGTGTCACCTCATACTCCTCTCGAAGGTACTCGTATATTTGAGCATATCTTGCTTCTCTCCAAGCAATTTCTGATCTGGATAATGAAACAAAACCAACAATTTGGTTACAAAATCCAACTCATGCATCTACTGCTTGGTATTCAAATGCATTAAATGAATAAGAAACGGGAGTTGCTAGTCCTATTTTGACTAACTTCAGCAAGACAATCTTCGAATGACACTAGAGTTGAGAAGTGACATTTGGAGAAGGACCAGTTTCATGCTTGCTGAGCCAAGACATGTAATATCTCACCAATAGGCTGCATAATGTAACTTTAGAGTAAATCCTAGTTTCTTTGATATTACTTTTCAAATAAGAACTCTTGCAGACCCAACTCTCGACCTCTTCGGTGCCATAATTACAAAATAATGTTAAGCCCACCAATATTTATTTATAGGAGACACACCGAATACCGATACGAGATCCTACTTTATAGAAGATTTTCTCGAGGTGCTACAATAATTAATTGAACCAGCACAGTCTTGCAGTCACCAACCCAAGGCATTTTATCAGTACTCTAACAACTCCTCGTGTTACTGCAAGTTTAATGTGCAAAGAATCTTGTAATCACAAGATCACACATGTACATCCAGAATTATTTAGATAGAGGAATAGTAAGGAGAGGATGCAAAAAAGAAAATAAATAATGATCGTCCAAAAGAAAGGGAAGGAGAGAGAAGGAAAGTCACAATTTATTAGGTATTTTTCTTACATCAAACTTTAAATGATTGCACGGTAAACACAGAGCACAATGATCCATAAAAATGTTGGAATATGTAGTTTGGAAAATAAGTTGATGCACTCTGCAGCGTTGTGTAAGGCAAGCAATTTTGCCAGAGATATTACCTCTCAAAAAGACCAACTTTAAGAATTACATCAGCCAAATTTGAATTGGCTTTTCCAACGAGTTTAATGAGCCTTGTCCGATCCATTGTGAAAGTTCCAGTCTTTTCCATTGCACGATTTATGTCAGCCAACCCTTCAACCATCCCATCAACCTGAGAGACATGGAGAAAGACCACAATCAATCTCCAAAGGAAATACCTGGCAGAGTAACAGGCTTTCAAGCCGGGAATCATTTAGAATGGGAAGTATGGTCTCTATGCAAACACCTTTTCTTGTAATAAACTAAATATTTATGCTTCTGTGGAAATTTCTTGTAGTACCTGTGAAACAAAATAATCCAATGCAATGCTTTGACCAAGAACACTTCCGATGACACGGATGCTATCAGTGTCTAAAGTTTTAAGAACAATGTAATCAAGTCCTCCCTGCATATCCTTTGTCAATAATGGCTGCTCTTTTACAGTATAATCTAATGCAAACAGTCAAACAGAAAACAGAAAATTAGTTTGTAATATATGACATTACATGTGCCCCAACAAGAAATGAAAGAAAAAAAGAAAGTAAAAGAATTTACCATCTTTCCTCATTTCTGTAAGCAATCCAGAAGCATGTTTCCTAACCATTTCAAGGTGGCTCTCAACTTCATGGTCCTCAATGTTAAACAAGACAGTAGATCCATACTGAAAAACAACCATATAACGACAGCTGCTGGCTTTCCTTCTAATTCCAAGTGCCTAAAGTCAATTGGACAAAATATATTTGTTCAATCAAACACTAACAAAAGCTATTGGCAAACTTGGCAGATACTCACAAAGATAACGCTTCAAGTTCATCCTAAAATGTTAGTCAACTCATACCATTCTTAATGAACAACACCACATTTGCAACTTGGTTAATAGAGGAAAAGAGTATTGAACTGTAGAGATAAATGAACAAACTTAAAAAGAAGATTGTTCCTTTTTATTATTTAATTTACAGCCTTTATAAGGAGAACTAAGTACAAATAAAGAAACAATCCCTAAAAATCAGTATCTTCCTAAGAATTAGAGACTAAGATTAGATCCTACTAGTCAAGGTAACTCCTAGGACTAAGGTAAGTATTTTGTCCTTAATCTTAGGAATGCTAAGAGTCCCCCTCAAGCTGGAGTGTAGATATTTATCAAACCCAACTTGCCGATGAGCTCCTCGAATATGTTTCTGCTCAAGCTTTTAGTTAGCAAGTCTGCAACTTGTTGTATGGTAGGTAGGTAGGTGATGCACACTTCTCCTGAGTTAGTTCTTTCCTTGATGAAGTGGCGATATATTTCTACGTGTTTGGTGCGATTGTGGTGAACAGGGTTATGAGCTATGCTGACAGCTGCTTGGTTGTTACAGTACATCTTTATAGGTCTAGTGTAGAGCACTTTTAGTTCTCCCATTAGTCGTTGTATCCAAATTCCTTCGCATATGCTATGGGATAGTGCTTGATACTCTGCTTCTACGCTGTTGCTTGTTACAACTGACTACTTTTTTCTTCTCCATGTCACAAGATTGACCCACACATAGCTATGGAAACCACTTGTAGAACGTTTGTGATTAACAGACCTTGCCCAGTCTGCGTCAGTGTAAATTTCCACACTTCGGTTGGCAGTTTTCTTGAAGTGTAGGCCTTTACCAGGAGTCCCCTTTAGATACTTTAAAATTTTGTAAGCAACTTCCAGCTGCTTCTCTCTTGGGGCATGCATGTACTGACTGATAACACTCACACCAAAGGTTATGTCTGGAAGGGTGAGAGATAGGTAGACGAGTCTTCCTACCAGTCGTTGATATCTCCCCTTGTCGACTTCTTCTCCATCTCTATCAGTTCCCAATTTAAGATTAAATTCCATAGGAGTTTTAACTGGTTTACACCCTAACAACCCAACTTCAAACAATAGATCAAGAATATACTTTCTTTGGGAGATGGAAATACATGTTTCAGACCTTGCTACTTCCATTCCAAGGAAGTACTTAAGGTTCCCCAAGTCCTTAAGTTCGAATTCAGCACTAAGAAATTCTTTGACTTTTAATTTCTTTTGAATCATCCCCTGTTAATATTATAACATCCATATAAACAATAAGGATGTAGTATTTCCCACCTTTCGAATGCTTGTAAAACATGGTATGGTCTGTCTGCCCCTAGGTGTAGCTCCTACTGATCATAGCTTTGGTAAATCGAATGAACCATGCCCTTGGAGAATGCTTCAGCCCATATAAGGACTTCTTCAACTTGCATACTTGGCCCTTGCTTTCTTCAAACCCGGGTGGAAAATCCATGTATACTTCCTCATTTAACTCTCCATTGAGGAATACATTTTTTACATCCAATTGAGTCAAAGGCCAGCCCATGTTGACAGTTAGAGATAGAAGAACTCGAATGGTGTTTAGCTTGGCAAACGATGCGAATGTCTCGTCGTAGCCTAGGCCATAGGTTTGGGTGAAATCCTTACCAACGAGTCGAGCCTTGTGTCGGTCAATACTACCATCAGGTTTAAACTTTGTAGTCAAAGATCCATTTGCATCCTACTGTCTTCTTCCCACTAGGTAGATTCGAGACTTCCCAAGTTTCATTTACCTTGAGAGCCCTCATTTCTTCCATCACAGCATTCCTCCACTCAACAGATTCAAGAGCCTCTTCTATATTTTTTGGTGTTTCTACATAATCAACATAAGACACAAAAGATTTATAAGACTTAGACAACAGGGAAATAAGGTGTTGAGTGCAACTTCTTTTTCCCTTTCGAACTGCAATTGGAATATAAATGGATGGCGATAGAGGTGAGGCTTTTGTTTTAGAATAGTCATCTATTGGGGATGAAATTGGCACTGTTGTCTTAGTTTCAGGAGAATGCCGTCATGGAGAATAAGTCCGCAGTTCTGGAGCTTGTTCTTGCCGTCTCTTTGGATCGAGTGGTTGTTGCTCATTGATCGTGCTTATTTCTTGTTGCATAGGGGAACCAATGTCTAAATCTAGAACTACAATGACACCCTGATTTGTAGGCTTGTTGGTGATAGTGGTGGTAGGATCAGGAGGTATAATGAGGCGGGAGTTAAGGGTCTCCTCTTCATTGAGAGTCTCCCCCTGAAGATGAGTTGTTGCAAAGTATGGTTCATTCTCAAAAAAGGTGATTTGTATCACTTAACTTTAACTATATTCATATTTTGGTCATTAAATTTTAAATTTTTTATATTTAATCACTATTTTTGTACATTTATCACTTAGATATAAAATCAGAAACAAATAAAGTGATTTGTGATGTTTTTCGTTAATTATTTTATCATATTACCAAAACATATAAAACTTTTAAAGTTTTCATGCTGTCATTGATATTGTCATTTTTTTTAGAGAAAATAACCTCAGTGACCAAAAATCCCATATAATATACGATTTTAACCGACTTTTTTCGGATTTGCCAAAATGACCAACAAAATCGCAATGCGATCGCTAATTCGCAACGCGATCTCCATTATCGCAAATCAGTTTCCAGATTCGCAACGCGATTATGACTATCGCAATGCAATTTTCCAATTTCGCGTTGCGATTTTCCCAATTCGCAATGCGAATAAGTAAATCGCAACGCGAATTTGGAAAATCGCAATGCGATACTGACTATCGCAATGCGACACTGACTATCGCAACGCGATAATACAAAATATCAACGCAATACTGACTTTCGCAACGCGATACTGACTTTCGCAACGCGATACTGACTTTCGCAATGCGATTCTGACTTTCGCAACGCGATTCTGACTTTCGCAACGCGATTCTGACTTTCGCAACGAGATTCTGACTATCGCAACGAGATAATACAGAATCGCAATGCGATTTTCAAACTTCGCAACATGTTTTAGTTTCGCAACACAAATATTTTGGATATATATCTACGCAGCAGCAATAACTCATAACCTAAATCCCTAAATCACAACTCATTCCATCTCCATCTATCACTCTCTCCGGCGACATCCGTTCCTATATCCGTTCCTACATCCTTCCCCATCCGACAACAAGTCTTAGTTTCGCAGCTCGTTTGTTTAGTAAATTAATTTACAACCATGAAATCATCTAATGTTGATCATGTTTGGATAGATTTGTGTTTTGGAGGGTCATGGGAGAATGTTCATGGTGTTTTACAATATATGCCTTTACCCATGAATCTTCAACTAAAACTGTCATTAAAAAAGTTAACTTATGAAACTCTAATGTTACGTGTTTCAAAGAAATTGAATTTAGAGCCCCTAAGTGGATTTAGGATATCTTATCAGAGAAATGGTAAAGTTTATTTGTTAACCGACAATGAAGATGTTGAACGATTCATTGCTTACATTAGTGTTTCAAGTGATGATGTTACATTGTATGTTGTTGAACCTAGAAGGAGTATTGTTGGGTCAGTAGCGTGTAGTAATCAACTAAGTTTTTCTCAAAACCCACAACCTTTCTCTAATCCAAATCCCAATCAACTTTCAGCACCAAATTTCGGTTTTCGTATTGACCAATTAGACGATGATGAGCCAACTGAAAAAATTGTGAGTACTAGTCAGTATTCGAAATTTGATCTTGGTCAATACCCGAACTTTGATATTGGTCAATACTCGGATTTTGATGATGTTTCAGAAGAAGAAACAGACCCTGCGTGTAATGATTTTGATATTGGTCAATACCTGAATTTTGATGATGAAACAACCGTTGTCGAGGAAGATGTTGTTGATGATAATGAGGAGGAAGTTACGACTGTGAATGAACATGTTGAACATCCATTATGTAATTCATATAATCCTGAAGAAGAAAAAGAAGAAGAAAAAGTCCCCGAAAAGAAAATGCCACGGGAGTATAACTGGAATATGCCAGAATTACTTCAGATACCGGAAGAAGAGTTGGTAAAGAAAGCAGTTGATTGTTACACAAAATTTATTCGTATCAAGAAAGATGATTGTTTTGATACAAAGGAAGACTTGAAGATAGCTTTGTATACGAAATGTGTGGAAGATGGCTATCAACTAAAAGTTAACAAATCAAGCAAAGATCGTTTCGAAACAAGGTGTATGATTGACAAAAACTGTACGTGGCGTATGATTGCAAAGAGGATAAAAGATTGCGAAATGTTTCAAGTTAGGACTTTTATTGATAAACATACATGTTCAAGAACCCAAGTTTTTCCTCACCATAGACAGGCAAACAAAAAGGTGTTGGGTGGTTTTCTGGCTGAGTTAATGTTTTTGAATGGCAGGGTATATCGGGGACATGAAATTATGACTGACATGAATGCTCGGTTCAAGATTAGTATATCATATTATCAAGCTTGGAGAGCCAAATGTTATGCCTTGGAATTGTTGAGGGGGTCGCCAGAAGCATCGTTTGCCCAAATGCCGGCTTATTGTCACAATTTAAAGCTGAAAAATCCTAGGTCGGTAACTCATATCAAAACAGATAGAGATGGACACTTTGAGTTGCTGTTTATCGCCATTGGTGCTGCGGTTAGTAAATCAATATAATTCTGTTGACTCATTTTTGTTAGTTACATGCATTTCACATTTAAATGATTATATTTCTTGTGTATATTATTTTGTAGATTCGTTCGTTTATTACTTGCATGCGCCCAATTATTATAGTTGACGGAGCACATTTGAAAGGTCGATACCTTGGAGTAAACTTATTAGCAGTAGCCATGGATGCTAACAATGGGATATTGCCAATAGCTTACGGGGTTGGCAAATCTGAAACCTCTGATTCATGGACATGGTTTATGGGGCATCTTAGGGATTGCATAGGTCCTATTAGCAATCTGACAATCATATCCGATAGGGCAAACTCAATTGACAACGTTGTTAGAAGGTGTTTCCTAGATACTTTTCATGGACTTTGTGGTGTTCATTTGTATAGAAATCTAAAATCAAGGTCTACTGGTATAAAAAAGCACAAATGGACATACTGGAAGGCTGTAAAAGCTTATCGGGAAGTGGATTTCAATAAGCATATAAACTGTTTAAGACGTATTTTGCCTCAGTGTGCTCAAACACTAGAAGATGTCGGGTTTGAAAGATGGTAAAGAGTACATCAACTTGGAGCAAGATATGGTTTCATGACATCTAATAGTGCAGAATCAATCAACGCTCTAAGTCGTCATTCCCGGAAATTACCCATTACTATGTTAATGGAGTTTTTTCGAGCCTCTATTCAACAGTGGTACTACAAGAAAAGAAACCATGCAGGTATTATTTCTTTGAATTCGTAACTTATCATATATTTTACTAAGTATTATTTATTTAAATTTACAGGAACATTGGAACATCGTGTTACACCATGGACTGAAAAAAAGATAACGAAACATGTTATGAAGTCAACGTCATGGAGAGTTGAACCATGTTCAAACACTTTGTTTGAAGTACTGGATAATAACTTAAATGGGCTTGTCGATCTAAATGCAAGGACGTGTAGTTGTATGAAATGGCAAACATCTGGTTATCCGTGTGGCCATGTTATAAAAGTTGCTCTTCATCTAAACCAAGATGATTCAAGCACATACGCTATGGATTGCTACACTACAGAAGTATATCGACAGACTTATGCCGAGATTGTCTACCCTATTCCACATCCTTCTGAGTGGGACATACCAGATGACTTACAAACAGTTTTTCCACCAGCCATGGACAGAAAGCTACCTGGCCGACCAAAAAGTCACGATCGTATACCGTCTAAGGGTGAAGAGAAAAAGAGATCGACATGTAGTCGGTGCAAGGAAAGTGGTCATACAAGGTTGACATGTGGTTCACCAGTGCCATCACAATCATCTTTTCCTCTACCAAAATATGGATCCTCATCAAAATCCAAAGCTCATATGGTGTCAAGCAAAAGGCAATCAAAATCGCAATCATCTTCAAAATCCCAATCACAACCGGCTTCACCTTTTCGGACTGTTAACTTAGGCGATTTTTAAATGCAAACGTTGTATTATATGTATTTTATGTGTGCACTTTTAACATTTTCAGTTAGGTATGTATTAGTAACTTGAGTTTGAACATTGTTATGATCTGTTCAGTTGTTATCACTTATTAGACATTCATTTGACTATCGCAACGGGGAAATCGCAACGCGAAAATGGCTATCGCAACGCGAAAATCGCAATGCGAAATGAAAATCGCATTACGATTTTCTCGTTGCGATTTTCATTTCGCATTGCGATTCTCTCGTTGCGATAGTCAGTTTCGTGTTGCGATAGTCTGTTTTGCCTTCAACATAATGCATATTGAAAATCAACAAATCAACTATTACATTTCAATCAATTAAACAAGCACAAATAAGAATTATGTACACATCAATTAAACAAATCAACATTTACAAATCATTTTTTACA